ACAATGCAAACAATTCTACGTAGAACCCAGTGCCAGGAAAGAACTTTCCTTTCCACTGACCTTCCGCAGGTGATAGGAATTGGAGAGCAGGTGCTGGCCTTGGTGTTGGCCTGAGTGTGACACATTTTCCACCCCCGCTCGAGTCCTCTGTGTTTCAATCAAGGCCTAAGCGATTTCAGAAACAGTCCCAGGGAGGAACTCATGCTGTGCTGCTCCTGATACATCTAATCTGCCCTCCCTTTTCAAAGACTTGTTTTTCTTTATCTGCTTTGAATCTGCTTTTATTATTATTATTATTATTATTATTGATTTCAGAGAGGAAGGGAGAGAAAGAGAGAGATAGAAACATCAATTATGAGAGAGAATCGTTGATTGGCTACCCTCCTGCATGCCCCACACTAGGGGATCGAGCCCGCAACCCGAGCACGTACCCTGACCAGGAATCAAACCATGACTTCCTGGTTCAGAGGTCGATGCTCAACCACTGAGCCATGCTGGCTGGGCTGAATCTGATTTTAAAGTTGCAACCCACCAAAACTGGTTTGGCTCAGTGGATAGAGCATCGGCCTGTGAATTGAAGGGTCCCGAATTTGATTCCGGTCAAAGGCATGTACCTTGGTTGCAGGCACATCCCCAGTGGAGAGGGGGGGGGTGCAGGAGGCAACTAATCAATGTCTCTCATCGGTGTTTCTAACTCTCTATCCTTCTCCCTTCCTCTGTAAAAAATCAATAAAATATATATTTTTTAAAATTGCAACCCGTAAGTCTACCCACATTACACAAGTATTTTCTAGGCAGGCCTCTTTGGCAAACTCTCCAGCGCCATCCCTCCCACACTGATACCCACCTGTGTCCCCGAGGAACCCCCCCTTTCCTCCCAGGGTCACTTCCTTCCCCTTGAGTTGACACAACCCCACACAAGTCCTTCTGGGAACCTGGATGTCCTCTGCTGGCAACAACCCCACCTCCCTCATGAGGCCCCAGATGCCCAGAGGAGGGGATGCAGGCAAGGGGTCTGGTAAACAGTGGCATCTTATGTAAATGCAAGGCCAGTCCCTACCAGCAGGCAGGAGGGCATCAGCAGGTCCTTCCTCCCTTATCTGCTCTCACAATGCATCATCTCTGTTGCAAGGAAGAAATTCTCGGGGCCAGTGGTCGGCAAACTCATTAGTCAACAGAGCCAAATAACAGTACAACGATTGAAATTTCTTTTGAGAGCCAAAAACCGACTTCCGTGCATGGGCCACGAAGTTTCAATCATCACACTGTACGTTCGCACCCGCACGTGGTATTTTGTGGAAGAGCCGCACTCAAGGGGCCAAAGAGCCGCATTTGGCTTGAGAGTCGCAGTTTGCCAACCACTGTTCTGGGCTAACACAACACTATGTTTTGGGGTGGGAGGAGCCAGAGAAGAGTATCCTGATTCTTTTTTAAACTTTTTAAATTGAGTTATATCATGCACACAGAAAAGTACATAAATCTTCAGTATATAAGCCAATGCATTTATACCAAGGTATAAATGCAACCACCATCTAGATCAAGATATGGAACATTTCTCTAACGGTTATTATTATATTTTCAGTGTTTCCCAAAGTGTGGTACGTGTACCCCCAGGGGTACGGGAAGTTTGGTGGGGGTATGCGTTGCTCCGGAGTTTGGTGGGGATATGCACGGCACCGTGCTTAGCTGCGCCTAATTCTACGTTCTCATGAGTACGAGGGGTACTCAGCGTTACAAAAATTATAGAAGGGGTACACATATGTCAAAAGTTTGGGAAACACTGAAGCACCCCCACACTCCCTTCCAGGCATTACCCACTCCATCCCCACCCCCCATTTCTAACATCATGGATTAGTTTTGTACATTCTTAAGCTTAATATAAAAGAAAATATATGGCCCTAACCAGTTTGGCTCAGTGGATAAGGAGTTGGCCTGCGGGCTTAGGGATCCCAGGTTTGATCCAGACAAGGGCATGTACCTTGATTCGGGCACATCCCCAGTGGAGGATGTGCAGGAGACAGCTGATTGATGCTTCTCTCATAGTTGTTTCTAACTCTCTATCCCCTTCCTTCCTCTCTGTGAAAAATCAATAAAATATAAATTAAAAAAATATATATGGTATATACAAGTATACCTACTAAGAGATATGGTGTTTTGGTCCCAGAGCACCACAATAAAGTGTCACAATAAAGCAAATCATAATCTTTTTGCTGGTGGAGGGCTTGTCTTCAATGGGTAAAAACCATCTACAAAGCACAATGAAGTGAGGTGCAACAAAACAAGGTATGCCTGCAGCCTTGTGTCTGGCTTCTTTCACACAACATATTTCTGAGATCAATACATGTCATAGATAGCAACTCATTTTATTCTATCGGTATGTTAGCATGCCACTGGACGGATGTACTGCAGTTCATCCGTGCTGTTATTGGTGGGCTTCTGAGCTATTTCCAGTTCTTAGTTATTACAAACTGCTTTGCTATGAACATTTAGTGCGTGTTTTGGGTAGACGCATGCACTCATCATTTCTCAGGAGTGGAAAGGCTGGTGGGCATGCGTCAGCTTTAGTAGAACCTGCCACACGGTCTCTGTGTGGCTGTGCCCATTTCTCCTCTCGGCAGCAATGACGTAGGAAGGGGGCTGGCATTTTTGTTTTGTTTGTTTTGTTCCATTTCCTTTTGGATGGAACAAGCCTGTTCTTTTCATTGTGCAATAGAATGAACCTGCACTTCGGAACCAGACAGACTGCGGTTCAAGTTTCAGCATCACCACCTGCCTGAGTGACACCTCCCTGAGTGGCATTACTAACTCTGGGAGGGTTTGCTTCCCCATGGGGATGTGTCGCCCTCCCCAGCCTGAGATGTCCAGCATTTACAACTGACACCTTGCCTGGCAGAGCAAGATGCCTGTTAGACATGTGCATGCAGGTGAGTGTGCATGTAGGTGGGTGCAGGTGGGCATGTGCACAGGTGTGTCTGTCTGCACATTGTACTGTCCCATCATAGCCTGCGGGGATGGGGGAGAGGATGTAGAGTCATGTCAAGGCAGTGTCCTAAACGTCCAAGAATAAGACCCAATCTAAGCTCATACAGAGTTAAACCATGGACCCACTTGGTTTTTCCCAACTTCCCCCACCACCCAACCCCTCCATTCTATAGCATTCAAACTCTATCAATAGAGTTTGAATGCTATAGAATGGAGTAAAAATATGACTAAATGTTCTTTTAGGTTCACTACATATGTGTGTAGAGGCAGCTGTGTGTAGGTGGAAGGGTGTGAGATAGTGTATTTGTGTGTGTGAGGGGGGGAGAGCAAGTATGTAAGGGGTATGTCTGTCTATATCTGCAAAAAGAGCAGAAAAGATTACCTCCAGTAAGGAGTAGGCCCTTTGAACACAATAGGTGGGAAACACTTAAGGACAGCCTCTTGCCCCAAAATGGCCAGACTAACACCTTCCCAGAAGTCAACAGAGGCCGCCGAGGGCCTGACCCAGGGCCCCAGAGCCAGGTGATACTGATTAATAATTCACATAGCTGAGCTTGGCATGGAGCCACGACAGGTGTCCTCTCCTACGAACACACCTTCATCCATGTGGCCATGTCATCCAATTAAGCTCTGAGAAGCCCAGCAAAAGGCCAGAGGCAGGCCAGGCCTATCCTGGAGGAGCTGGGCTGGGCAGTGAGGGGCCCTTGTCCCCAAGGGGTCTCTCCAGGACGAAGGCAAACCACCACAAAGGAGTGAGGGGACATCCCTTCCCGCCAAAGCAGGCACAGCCAGGCCACACCACCGCTCCCCACACCGTCCTCTCACTCAAAAGAAGTGTAATAAACCACACACACACACACACACACACTCACACACACACAAACACACACACACACACTCACACACCACACACAAACACACACACACACACACTCACACACCACACACACACAAACACACACATTCACACACACACACACTCACACACTCTCTCACATACACTACACACACACACATTCACACACACACTCACACACACACTCACACATCACACTCTCACACACACACTCACACACCACACACAAACACACACACACTCACACACACAAACACACACATTCACACACACGCACACTCACACACAAACACACACACCACACACAAACACACACACTCACACACTCACACACCACACACAAACACACACACACACACTCACACACACACACTCACACATCACACACAAACACACACACTCACACACTCACACACCACACACAAACACACACACACACTCACACACCACACACACACACTCACACATCACACACAAACACACACACTCACACACTCACACACCACACACAAACACACACACACACTCACACACCACACACACAAACACACACACACACTCTCTCTCTCACATATACCACACACACACACACACATTCACACACACACACACTCACACATCACACACAAACACACACACTCACACACTCACACACAAACACACACACACACACTCACCACACACACACAAACACACACATTCACACACACACACTCACACATTCTCTCTCTCACATACACCACACACACACATTTACACATTCACACACACACTCACACACCACACACACACACACACACACACACACACACACACACGTCTGAGAGAAAAAAAACAGGAGGAGCTGAGGAGCACAGGAAGGACAAGCCTCTTTTATTATCCCAAAATGCAAAGTATTGAAGGCACTTACAATAATAAGGGAGGAGGGGAGGTCAGAGCACAGAGGTAAATCAACAGGCCCCACCCTGGTCAGCACCCGGCATGGAGAGAAGGAAAAGCTACAGGACCAGGTCTGAAGCCAGTCAGGGTGTCTAACTCTACAAAAGATACAAATCATTCTACAGAGGATTAGGAAATTAGGGGCACATGGCATCAAGAGGCAGGATTGGCAGTCACGAGTTAGTGGTTCTGTAAGGAACACACTCAGCAGAAACAAGGGACCTCAGGTCCCCTGCTGGAAGAGGTCTCTGTACATCTCGATGAGACGAGCAGCTTCACGCTGTCCAGAGAGCAGAGCACCATGGGTGGTAGAGTAGTACTTGCGGTGGGTGGCCTCACCTGAGAACAGCACCTGCATGGGCTGGGAGGGAGATAGGGAGATGAGGGTGGAGGAGCAAGAGAGGCCAAGGGTCTACCTCTCTGCTCCAAAAATCCCCATCCATACTGTAAGTCAGAGGTATGAGTATGCAGGTATTGCTGCTTCCACAGGATGAGGAGTTGCCCACCCCACCTGGCCACCTTCCCCTGCTTCTGCCCCAAACACCAGGCCTCAGTTCTGTCTGTCCTGGGGCTTTTAGAAATTCTGGTTCTGCAGTCTCAGAGGTTCACTCTGCCTCTTTATCAGTGAAAGCAGGGAAAGCAGTTTAACCTCCCTACGTCTTGGTGTTCTCATCTGTAAAATGGGTTCATACCACTGCTTCTGAGGGTGGTTGGAAGGATTAAGTGAAATAATGTATCTAAAGCACTTAGAACCTGGAAGAACATAAGCACTCGATAAAGTTAGGTGGTAATTTAACAAACCTTTATGGAGCCCCTGTTAGGATCCAGGGACTGTTCTGGGCACTTGGAAGATAAAAGGTGACCAGGCTGCTGCTCTGAGGAGCTTCCTTGCTGGTGGGGAAGCCAGACACGAAACCCAATTATTAACGGTGTCATATGTGACGTGATGGGTGTCTGAGTGAGGCGCTGAGAGCCTAGAAAAGAGGCTCATGATTGGGGGGACACACAAAGCTTCCCAACGACAGGACCTTCGGACTGCTTCTTGGAAAACGCTGGGCAAATAAACAGGCAAAGGGTGGCAGGAAGGAGGAAAGGGGGACAAAAAATGCACCAACGCAGACCTTGTGCAGGGAACAGGGACAATTTTGGTATAGCCAGGCCTCAACCTCGAGAAAGCTGGGCTCCAGGCAAAACACAAGTGCTCACATCTTAAGCTTGAATTTGGACTTTCCCAGGGTTTTTCAAACTGAATGTGCAAAAGCACCAACTGGGGATTCTGGCGGAGTCAAGTTTTCAACTCAGCAGGTCTGGAGGGGACTGAGTCTGAATTTCTAACACATTCCCACGTGACGCTGGGGCTGCGGGTCCACAGGCCACCCACTTTGAACAGCGAAGCTTCAGCCCACCAACAAGGAGCACACAGAGCGGGTGGAACTGAAAGGGGGCGGGAGGGACTCATTATGGCAGAGGGCAAGCCGCCTACTCCCACAGCCATTCTCCTTTCTCTTCAGTAACAAAGCCCTGATTTTTAACGGGGTCCACTGCCATCCAGAATAAAAATGATGTGTCCTAGCCTCTCTTGCAGCTGGTATAGTCACGTGGCTAAGTTCTGGCCAATCAGCTTCACTGTCCTGTTGCTTAGAGACACTGATTCAGCCCCAAGTGTCTCCCCGCCAGGCCCCCACCTTGCAACCTGAAATGCAGAGGAGGGAAGCAGCCTCTCGGATGGACGGACGAGGAGGCCTTGAGGATGAGGCAGGTTGCTAACGGTTTGAGGTCCTGACACCTACTTCGGATTTCCTTTTTGTGTGACGGAAGTAAACTTCTGTCTTGGTTAAGCCACAGCTATTTTTGTTTTGCTTTGCTTCTTAGGAGGGTGGCTGCCGCAGCAGTGAGGGCCTTGTCCTTTCTCCCAGGAGCACAGCCAGAGCGGGCACAACACACCTTGCTGGTTGGTTGGCTCCACATTGGCGAATGGAGAGAGGCCAGTGGAAGCACCAATTCCACCAAAAAAAAAATTGTTTTAAATGTCATTCTGTCGGGGTTTTAGCAATTATTGTGTGTGCAGAGAGGGACTCAAAAATACTTTATGGGAACAGAAATAGATATAATTCTTTCTCTCCTACTTGTTATCTTTCTCTATGTATTATTTATTATATAGTTGATATCATTTGGGGAAGAAGTGTTCTCAATTTTATATCCTAAAACATCTTGGCAGGTGGAGTGAAAACATCCTGGGGAAACTTACTTTCATTGAATCAGTGCACTCCCACAGAGCTTCCCATGATGATAGAAATTGTCCATAGCTGCATAATCTAACACGGTAGCCACCAGCCACAAGTGGCTACCGAACCTGAAATGTAGATAATGCAACTGGGGACCTAAAATTTTAATTTACTAATTTAAATTTTAATGAATCAAGTGGAGTGACTAATGCCTACCATATTGGACAGCGCAGCATTTAAATGGCTACTTTTATAATCTCAAGAAAGCGTCTGGTTCCATCTTTTCTTCCAGATGTTAAGTGCACAATTTCTTGTTTCCTCTTCCATTATACGAGGGATTCCACCCCTGGCTCACCTGGCACCCCTTCGTGAACACACTTCCCCCTCCTCCACCTGGACAAACACACAAGCAGGCTACGCCACCAGCCCTCCCAGGCCCTCCCGGCCCGCCCCCCGCACTCACCGCGGTCTTGGAGCTCTCCGTGTAGGGCAGGGGCTTGGCCAGCTTCTCCACGTCGGTCCCAGTTGAGCCCACCTGCGTATATGAATAGGAGCCTCGGAAGTAAGGGTTGCTGCCCCAGGCGGAGCGCAGGATTCGCCGAGGCTTGGGAATGTTGGGGTTCCCTGTGGGAGAGTCAGAAGAGCAGGGAGGAAGGAGGATAAGAAACGGCCACACAGACACCCTGTGTAGGCCACTCCCGCCCACCCTCGGGTGCCAGGCGGGCCGGGCTGCTGTGGAGAGGCCTGGGGAATGGAGGAGGGAGGCTGAGTTCAAGCTGTGTACCCCTCACCTCCTTGTGACCCCGGCAAACACCTCATCTCCCCGGGCCTTAATTTTCCTACCCGAGAAACATTCTAGATAATCATGTTCCCTTCCAGCTGCAGGGGTTCTTGTGGGGCTTTCCCAGGACAGTGGCTGAAAGATGTTCTTCTAAAAGAATCCGACAGCAAAACACAAATCCACCTCTTAGCAAGGCAACCGATGGGATGCGGGCAATCTGAGGTTTTGCGGTGACATCCCAGTTTTTACCATCAGCCCTTAGAAGAAACACAGAGCCTATGGTTTTGAGTGTCTCAGGCTCCAGCCAGGGGGAGAGAGCCCACAATTTAGGAGCCCAAGGCTGAGACGTGGCAGCCAGTGGCAGCTCTCCCAGTGGCCGTGCCACCTCAGTTTCACAATCTGGAGAGGAGAGCGGCCACAGGGTTCATGGGATGCAGAGGGTCTGGCAGGGGATGGCGGGTGGCTGGAGGGGCAAGTAGATAGCTTGGGACAGGCAGGTGGCTGGGGATAGGCAAATGGCTGGGGACAGGCAGATGGCTTGGGAGAGGCAGATGGCTTGGGAGAGGCGGGTGGCTGGGGGTCAGGTGGGTGGCTGGAGGGGCAAGCGGGTGGCTGGGGCAGGATGGGTGGCTGGGGACAGGATGGGTGGCCGGGGTCAGACGGGTGGCTGGGGGCAGGATGGGTGGCTGGGGGCAGGATGGGTGGCTGGGGGCAGGATGGGTGGCTGGGGCAGGATGGGTGGCTGGGGCAGGATGGGTGGGTGAGGAGAGGCGAGCGGCTGGGGACAGGCGGGGGCTGGAGGGTAGGCAGCGGGGCAGCGGGCCCCGGGCCGCACCTGTGAACTGCCGCAGCATCTCGGTGCAGATCTCGGCCACCGCCTCGTCGTCGAACTTCTCCATGACGAGGGCCTCCTCCCCGCAGATCCAGCCGCTCAGCACGTGGCCGTAGCGCTCGGGCGGGTAGAGCACGTCGAAGCCGCAGATCTTGCGGTACCAGAGCTCGGGCGGGTAGGTGAGGGTGCGGCTCTCCGCCTCGTCCTCCCACACGAACTGGAGGCTGTTGCACTCGGGGCCCCAGAAGGGCTCCTCGAACTCCAGGAAGATCTTGTCGGTGGTGCCGATGCCCAGGCGGTGGATGGCGGCCACCTTCTCGGCGGGCAGCGCCGGGCGGAAGAGGCCGGCGTGCTGCTTCTTGAGCACGCCCAGCGACACGGTCACGATGACGTGGTCCGCCGGGATCACCTCGCAGTCCTCGCACTCCACCAGCACCGGCCAGCGCGCGTCCTCGTCCGGCCCGCGCCCCTGCGGCTCCCCGCCGCCCGGGCCGCCCTCGCCCGCGTCCTGGTTGTGGTCACCCTCTCCGCGGGGCTCGATCTCGGGGCCCCGGGGGCGGCCCAAGGCCTGGTCCCAGTGCACGCAGCGGACGGCCTTGCCCAGCTGGATAACGTGGGCCGGGATGCCTTCGGCCAGCAGCTCCACAACCCGCATGAAGCCGGAGGGGATGATGTGGTGGGCGCCCGGGATCTCCGTCCACTCCCCGAAGGCGCTCAGGGACACCTCGTCCATGCTGTGCGAGCTGCTCTCGCAGCTCTCCACCTGCGGGAAGAGCCAGAGAGGAGCCAGGTGACTCCCAGGGCTGGGCAAGGGGAGGTCAGGGCTGGACCTCCGGGTGGCGTGCCCTCCTCGGACCCAGATTCCCCCCAGAATGGTCTTCCTCGCTCTTGGCACCTACACTCCACTGAGCTCCCGCCGCCGGGCAAAGGTACCTTCAGGTACTGCTGGATCATGGCGAGCTTCAGGCGCTTGGTGGCCTCCGTGTCCTCAGGGTCATTCCTGATGCGGTTGCGCACCTCCTCCCGGGTGAACACCCCCACGCTGTTCTGACTCTCAGCATTGACTGGTTTACCGTGCCGGAAGAACTCCTGGGTCAAGTTATAGACCTGCCGGAGAGACCCGACCGCGCTGACGACACACCCCCTCGTCTCCCCTCCATCTCAGACCCAAAGGCCCAACACTTGCCCAGATGCCCCCAGACAGGCCACGCCCACGACCCCTCTTCCCTTGATGCCTCAAGGGGGTGCTCATACTGCACTGAGACTCAACAGGCTCCTGGTTCAGGGATGGCAAGCTCCCGTGGCAGCCAGCCTCCTCCAGATGCTGCCCTCTAAGGTCGCCTGGGCTTGTGAGGGCGCTGAGTGGGCCCCGGAGGCTCTGTTGCTGGGCCCCTGCTTAGTACAGTGAAATGTCTGGTGCCTGTACAGTGTGTGGGAAAGGACCCGCCCCTCATGGGTTCTACGTGGCCACGCCGACAGCCCACTTTAGAACCTAGACCTGCACGCTTTTTTCTTTTCCAAGAACCAAATGCACAAACCGCTTCCCTGTCACCCCTGCCCAAGCGTGTCTGCTTCGCTCTCTCCCAAGAGGGCAGGCAGTCTGGGGCAGTGGCCTGGCCAGTATTTTGAGGGAGAGGGAGCAGAAGGGGCTCTGAAGTCTGCCTGGCTCTGCTCAGAGCCACTCAAGGTGCTCTCTTTACTGTAGGCCTCAGACTCAGGTAAGGAAAATGCCATGCTGGGGCGGGCATGCAGGGAGGCCCCAGGGTGCCAAGGAATGGAAATGCATTTCACGGGTATTTTGTCAAGAACGTCAACCCACATCTCATCAACAGAAAGAAATGAACAACCCTGGCCTTCTGCCTTCCTGCCTTGGTGGTTTATCACCCCCATCAAACACGGAGCAGGTCTTCCTGAGGAAAGGAAGCCAGGCCTGGAGCAGGCATGGGATTCCCCAGAAGGCAAGGCTTCAGCCCCAACATCCATCAGCAAATGTTCACTGGGCTCTTTGCCAGACACAGGTTGTAAACGTGAACTAGACAGACATAGTCCTAAACCCCTGCCCTAAAGCTGGAGAGACGTCATAAAATGTGGAAAGAGCCCAGGGTTTGTGAGATCAACCCAGACAACCGTGGACAGTCCGGATCGAGTCAGACTGGCAGTGGGAGGGAAAGGAAAGGCATTTCAGACCAAAGAAACAGCATATTCAAAGAGAAAGAGAGGAAGAAGGGGGAGAAAACTTAAGATGCATGGTACTAAAAGTGGCTCCGTGTTGCCCGAGTGAACAGCACAGAAAGAGAGAACTGTGGAAAGGCAGGCAGGTGCTCAGCATGAGGGCCTAAGGGGCTTGTCCAGAACTCTGGACTTTATCCAAGGCCCTGGCATCACTGACGGGTTATGAGCATAACCACACGCCCACTCTCCCTCCCGGCACACTGGAAATGCAGGCTCCCCGGCCAAACACACATCCATGGGGATGAGTCTGCCCTTTAACGCAGCCCTGGCATAGACTTCAGGGCAGCAGGGAGGAGGAAGGAAGGTGGCATTGCCCACTCCCAACCATATATCTCCACATGAGACATAAACACGAATTAAATGCCTCTGAAGTATAAAATATAAAGAAGTAAATGAGTTGAATTGTTTATTTTTCCTCCCTTCAGTCACAAGATGCTGGGTGTTTGGCCTTAACTAGAGTTCTCAGCAAATTCTTCACCCAGTACTACTGCCAAGGGGTCAGGCTCTCAACTTGCCTCCTCCTCCATGGGTTTGTCCTATGGATGATAACCAACATGGTACCCACCCAGGCCTTACCTTACGTTGACTAGAGGCCAAAATGCCAGCTGAGTAACAAATTCAGTCTCTCTACGTGACTTTTCTCCAGCGAGGACGGCCTTAACTGAATATGGATTTTTCATATGGGTACAGTGTCCTGACCTGGGTCAAATGTCACCCAAGGGAAATGAGACAAACATATAATAGCTAATACTCACCCCAATTCTCATTAAGCACTTTTCATCAGGATCTCATTTAGTCCTCATGACACTATAAAGTAGGTATAACTATGTCCATTTTACAGATGAGGAAAGTAAGGCTCAGAGAGGCTCACTAACTTGCCTGAGATTATACAGCTAATAAACGGTTGAACTGGTATTTGAACCAAGGGAGTCTCGCTCCAGAGAGTGAGCTCTCTACTACTGCAACCCACTTATTTGTTAACAAATATAATGCATTCAAATGAGAAGCCCTTCAAAGTCATCACCTTTGGAGGGAGGCTGCCTGTGTGCTAGGAACCCACCCTCAGGCAGTGCTTCACGTGCTTAGAGCGCACTATTCTAGAACAGCCTCCAGCACTGGCTAACAGCCACACCGGGAAACCTATCTCCAGACCTCATGGTTAGCACCCTTTCCTTCTCACAGAGAGCAGCACCACCCAGACTAATAACCCACCTTATCCATCTTACTTTCTACAACTTACACTCTTGATTTTCAAAAATCAAGCCCACCGCAGAAATGGATGGTGATCTATTTTTTTAAGGGTTTAAAAGAACAAGTCAGTCACGGACCCTGAAGGTCATTCTCAAAAGGCATCCATGCTTGAAATACTCACAATCAGAGCATGACTGATTCCCAGTAGACCAGGAAGTTCCATGTTGAAGAATACTAGTTCTTATCTACTCGTTAATAATTCAATCTCTTTGCACATGAGTGAAAACACATAATACCATGGGATTGCACACAACATACCTTGGCACCTTGGCACCTTGGCACCTTGTGGCACCTTGTGGGTGCACACACACTGGCACCTTGTGGGTGCACCTTGGCACCTTGTGGGTGCACACACACTGAGCCAGCCTCCCTGAACAGGAACTATCCCAAAACAAAGGTCACAGCTCCTTTCCCATGCCCATAGAAAATGTACAATAGGTGTTTGTTGGCCAATTTATGGACCTAGAGTGAAGGGTTATTATACTATTAACACAACGTATCAGAAAACAAGGCCTACTTGTTACTTGCTTGTCCAGTGCAGTTCACAGCACCACTGAAAGATACTAAAAATATTGACATATTTTTAAAAACCTGATAAGACAATGATGCGTGTCACTTCTATCCAACACTAGACTGGAGATACTGGCCAGTGCAATATAGCAAGAAAAATAAATAGTCTTAGTCTGAGCTGTTCAATACAGTAGCCACTAAATAATTAAATATTTACTTACTCAGTTTTACTACTACATTGCAAAAGCCCAAGAGCCATATGTGGCTAGTGACTACAATACTGGATAGTACAGGTATAAAACATCTCCATTATTGTAGAAAGTTCTATTAGGCAATGCGGGTCTGAGGATTAGAAAGGAAAAAATAAAATTCTCATCTATTTTTGTATAGAATTATATACATAAAATTCCAAAGCATTATTAGAATATAAATTAATATAGCATATTAACAGATATAGCATTAAAATGAAAATAATAATTTACCAAGGCAGTTGAAATCAATATGTAAAATCAGTTATAGTTCTAAAGGCCAGGAACAACTAGAAAATATAATTAAATTACCATTTTACAAGAGTATCCAACAGCAATAACAACAATCACTGCCTAAGTACCTAGTAACAAATCTACTAAAAGATGTTTAAGGCCTTTCTGGAGAAATATTTAATCATGTGTACCAATAATCTCTTAACTCGTAGCTCTCCACTCATCATCTTCATTCTACCCACAAGTTGTCCTGATATTCCAAACGCAGGGCCCAGAGAGTGTGCAAGGACATGGCCAGGGTCTTAAAAGACTTCCTGCACACTGCCAGGGGATTCCCTGCCCCCCACTCTGTGCCTAGCTGGCCTGTTAACACCTCACCTCGTTGTATAAATCGCTGAATTCCTCAACCACGTCCTTGGGGACCCTGCGGCCACGGTTGGTAAGGTAGCAGGCCACGCCATTCTTGGAGTAGAGGCTGATGCGGCCCACGCTGCGCTCCCCGTCCGTTGTCTCTTCCAGGAGGCCATTGGCTTCTGCTAGATGATAGATGGGGTTCCCCTGGGATCCATGGATCCAGGTGGCTCCCAGCTCAAAGGTCGCGTGTCCTGGCGGTGACAACAGTAAGACCTCAGAGCGGCAGGGATTTCTTCAGGGAGGGCCAGAACACTGCCTCACCCTCCTTCCTCCAGGAGAATCACTCCCCCCCACCCCCACAATAGGCAAGTTGGGGATTAGGGTCCCCCTCTGGCAACCAACCCAAGTTTTCAGTGAAAATATCCCAGCGAAACTGTATGTGGCACAAAATGGATTACACTTTATAGCTGAGATAACTGCTACTGAATGACTCAGTGATGTGCCCCAGAGTCACCACGCTGGACTAATTAGAAGTGGGTAGACCAGAGGACCCCAAAAGCTGAAAACTCAGTGTCCTGCTTCTATGGGTTCCTGGTGGGCACTGAGGGCATTTTTCACTAATCAACCTTTAGAGCCTCAAGCTCGAGGCTCCCTAAGAATCTTGCCTGGTATTAGCTCCCAATAGGGACAGAATGGAGCCAGCATCCTGGATATCCCGCTAAACCTGGGGACCCTCCTCAGGGCAGAGCAGGGAGCTCCAGGTCACACAGCCACTGGGAGGTGGTGCCCAGGAATATGGTACCCTTCCTGGCTCCAGACTCTCAGCAAAAACAGGAACAAGGAGAGTAGCTTGAGGTCAGCTGCAAGGTCAGTGCCACAGCCCTATCCACCAGACTCTGCCAGCAGGCGGGGCAGCCCAAAGCAGGTCCCAGTCTGAGGATATTTCCCATCCTCTCCCACGTGCTTCTCCGCCTGTGTCATCCTTGCTACACCGCTGCATCCAAAGAGTTCCAGTTACTATCTCCAGGTCTACACACAGTGTCCCCGGGGCCTCTCGTCCTTGACCTGCCGCTCTTATCACTGAGATTCACAGCTACCGTCTCACACCGCAGCTAGCCCAACTGCAGCCTGGGCTTTCCGCCTTGGGAGTCAGCACACACAACATATGCACATATGCCCTTGCCTGGACACGCGCTCCCCTCTCCTGGCAGGTATGCCTTGGTGTTTCTCATATAGATCAATCCACAAGTGTCACCTCATCCTTCTCACTGCTATCCAACTTCCCCCAACACCTGAGACCCACCCAACCTCCCTCTCCCAGGGAAGGCTCCTGCCCTCAGGCTCCTGAAGCCCATCTCTCCCTCCTTACTCCCTGTACCGTCATTTCACTGCTCCCAGCTGTCAGCTACCACTGAGACTGGGCTGTCTGCCCTCCCTTCTTCTGCTTCCATCTCAGACTCAAGTACCACAAATGCCGCAGCCCCTTCTCTAAGACTCTAGGCCAGCCAATCAGGTGTTAACCAAAGAGTCCCACCCTTCCCTGCTGGCTATCCCCACATTTACAAGTGCCATGGATGCACTTTCATCCTTACTGCTAACATACTCTCCTGTGTGTGCCAGGAGACAACAGATGCAACCTCATATGCGCTATCCAGTAAATGCTATAGGGAAAGTCTCCTAATGTGGTCAGAGTCTCCGAAAGAAGAAAGTACCCAGGTGTCTTCAACCTCTGCTTATTCTAAGCCTGGCCACCTATTTCTCTCGCCCATCCATCAGAAGTGGACACACAGAATCTTCTTGGCCTTGCTGCCCATGAGGGAACAGTCACAGACACAAAATCCTATGGTCAATACAGTCCACAGTGCATGGTCCCTACCTGCTCAATCTCTCCATGGCCAGACCTCCTGGCTGGGAAGCCCTGGCCTCCAATGGCATTTCGGGCAAGTCCCCATCTTTTAGAATCCATGGCGTAAGTCTCTTACCTGGCTGCTTTCTCCAGAGTTTTCATTACTCTGCATCCTGGACAGACCCTTTTCCCAGAGACCTGCCATAACCCACAAGGAGGTCCAAAATCCCCTTGTACCTCCACTGCCCTGAATTTCTGTTGTCCCAGCTAACTCTTGGTCCTGATACACTAATTCACACTCAAAAGTTAATAAGTAGAAGCTCACAGAATTCTCCTTTTTTGTGAAACAGAAACTGGTCCATCCACTGCTAAGAGCGCTTGGTTCTGGGCATCCCCTCCCTCTTAAACACTGAATCCTAGGTCATGTTCCAAAAATGGAGGCCAGAACCCTGTCCTGCCTACCTCAGAGGGCTACGGAAGGACAAAGGGAGCTTTTGGAAAACATCCGGACAGCATGCATGGTGAAATAACTACCCCCAGAGAAGCTGCTAAATGAATGAGATTTCAGGCAAGGCCAAGGCAAATGGGGGAAAAGAAGTGACTTTGGGAGGTAGCAGGGCCGAGATGGCACTCACCGAGTTTCACACTCTCCACACGGCCTCCAATGCGGCTAGAAGCCTCAAGCACAGTGACATCCGTGAAGCCCTGCTCCAGAAGGGCTTTGGCTGCAGCCAGGCCAGCCAAACCGGCACCGATCACTACCACGCGAGGCTGTCCCCTTCTCCGCAGGCCACGACTGAGAGGGTCATCCGCACTGTCGCCACTGGATTCACAACTTTGCATACCGTCCGCACTCGCCTCCTAGGAACCTGCAGGGAACAGGAATGTCACAGTCACCGACTATCCCTTCACTCCCCACCTGCCCCAAGGGGCATTCACGGGCTCTGCTCTCAAGGGGAGACCTCGAGCCCTCCCTGTCCTCCTCAAGGACCTGGAAATAAAAGCCATCTCTAAAGGATGTGGACAGGGGAGAAGAGACACAGAGAGGGAAAGAAGAAGGAAGGGGTGCATTGTGGGCCCTCACCAGCAAGCAGGAGAGCTGGGGGCCCGCCTGGAGCCCCTGAAAGCCATCAATCCCATCCAAAACCTGTCAGGCACTACCTCGTGTCCAAAGCTGAGAAACAAGAGCCCGTCGCAGAGAGAATGACCAAGAAGGTCAAAGTCAAGAGAAACTGCCTGGCACTGGACCAACTGGGCCAGCACAGCTGCTGTGGTCCAGCCCCCACCAAACCGAGGATGCTCACACTGACCCCAGGATGCTCGCATGGACTTCCGGATGCTCACACCAACCCCAGATATTCTCCCTCTATTTTCCCTCCCTTCCTAGTTCTTCCCTCGCACTCTCTCTTTCTTGCCCCTTCTCCTCTCCTCTGGATTTCTGTTGCTCTTTTCACAGCCTCAGGGAGGTGGCAATTTGGTGGGCAGGACCTAGTCCCGCCCTCCCCCCAAAAATGCCACGAGGCCGGTCCTGGATGAGCCTCTGCTATTCCGGGTAGACCTCTGGGTGTTTTCCCCCAGCCATCCAGCCCCTCCGTCACCACAAAGCAGCAAGGAGCCCAGGAAACAGTGAACCGTGAGGACCCGTGGCACCAGAGGCCAGACATCAAATTGACAGTTACACTGAGCCAGCTTGCTTGGAGACGCCAGGCGCGCCAGGCGCAGGAGCTGACGGCTAGGAGGCGAAGGGGTCCCTGAATCTGGCCCAAGGGCTGGGAGAGGCTACCTCCCTCTTCCCAGAGTGACCACAAAGGTCTGAAGGTGTCCGTGGGCTGCTTCCCTGGCCCAAGCAACTTAGATTCCAGGGGCCTTTGCTGAGGTTTTAGCGGCAGGAGTTGCAGATTCCAATGATATCCGGGACGTAACAACAGGGAGCAAATACAGGTGGAAGGCGGTTGCGGGGCAGCACACAGGGGGCATCTAAAAAGCTGCCACCTGTACCTGATAGGCATATCCCACCAAAGAGATATGCTAAAGAGTGTGCATAGCAGCTTTATTCGTAAAAGTCAGGAGCAACCCAAAGGTCCAGCCACAGGAGAATGAGTAAATCTATCATGCTGTGTACAGCATAGCCACACAAGGAAACAGTGCTCAGCAATAATCTCAACAACTCTGCATGGAGCGAAAGACGCCAGAGATACAAGAGTTCATTCTGGATGACTCCAGTCATGTAAAGTTCACAAAGAGGTCAAATCAATCTGTGATGGCAGAGGCGAGATGGGATGGGAGCAGGGCCAGGAGGGAACTCTCTGGGATGGAAGGATGTGTACCTTGGTGTGGATGGTGGTTACAATTATATACAAGAATCCATAGCGTTGGGTATTTAAGGTTTGGGCCATTCAATGTACGTGTGTGTGTGCACACCTCAGTAACCATTCAGATATCCATTCCTGGCTCCCTATAAAAAATAATAATACCAGCACAGACTTCCTTCTTCACACATCTCAAGGGGTAGCAAAGTCATCTTTTTCTCAATCTACTCCGGCTAAGAAACTGCCCCTCACCCTCTCCCACCCACTCCACCTGCCCACACCACACCTGGGCATGGACTGCCTCCAAATGCCACCTAAATTCCCAGGCTCAGCCAGCTCAGTGCAGAAATGATTCCTCAGGGGGCCGGAAGGTGGTGCCATGGCCCAGAGCTCCTGGGAGGGGACTCCCCAGCTCAGACTGTATCCGGTTTTCCCATTCCTCCTCCCTCCTCCAGATTCTGTCCCTCCACACCCCCTCCCCCACCCCCTCCTGGTGCTCAATCTAGCCACATGGGGGGTCAGGGCTGCCTGGACTCCTTTCCTCCCCTTTCCTTCCCCCCTCCAGGTTCTAACAGGGAAGTAAATGTAGATAGAGGTGAGGTATGGCTCCTGCCAAGGCAGCCAGCAGGGAGAAAGGGTCAGAGATTCGATGCAGACAAGGAACCTGCTCGGCAGCAGGTCTGTAAACATACCGGCTCCTAGCTGCCAGCTGCCACTGACATACGTCACCATTGCCGGGCACCCAATGACGCCATGCGATGTGGCTCTGCTGTCCTCCCTGCTCCCACGCCCGCTCCCCAGGGCTGGGGGTGCTCTGCCTACATGCTTGTTCTTGGCCTCTACCCCCATCCCCAGCCCTAGGCCACCCCCCCAAAAACAACAACAACAACAAAATGCTTTTATTCAATAAAGGGATGGGATCAACGCAGTGGTTCTCAAATCTTACTGGTGGAACCCCTTCTCAAAAGGCTCCTGTGGAGTTCAGGGTGTGGCTGGGGTGAAGCTGGTCTCATCACAGAACCCCCATCACACTGTCATGACAGTCAAATAAGGCGCTGTGTGGATGTCACAAAATTCTCAAGAGCCTCATGGGTGAAAATTACTTATAAAGTTCCGTAGCGAAATTATGAGCAGACTGTCATTGTGACCGGGTTCAGGGATGGATTGTGGGAAGTACAGGCCAGCAGCTTGCCTTCAAGATGAACACAGAAAGAATCCTGAGTTCCCAAGTGTCAGAGGCCTTGAACTCAGACATCACACCTGGGATGCCACAGTAGAAGCAGGTAAGTGGGCCACAGAGGTCACCTGCATCCCTGACCTTCACAGCTAATCCCAGATGGGCCCCCAAGTCAACCCTGAGCACCCCAAGAAGCCAGAGAGGCGACTCACACAGGCCACTGACGGCAGACAGATAAGGAGTCAGTGCCCCGTGTCCCCCAAATCGGCCTTTGGGGCCAACACACCTCGGGGTCCAAACTGAAAGGGAGAGAGAAAATTATGTCCAGGGACACCTACTCCATGCTTGGCCCCCGCTAAATGCTGAACTGGACTTTTAGGTGCTCTGTGATCTGGTTGCGGGTGGGGAAAGCAATTTATTTTCCATTGGTTTGTATCATCTTTCCCTTTTGAATTTTTTTTTTAATTTTAAGAGAAAATGGCTTATTGAGGAAGAATCACTTAATGCTCCTCAGTGCCCACCTGCCCTTCTCTAGATTTGGGGAATTAAATAAATAAATAACATCCGCTCCTTGATCTGTATGCACAGGAGAAACAGAACACCCTGTACTTTCCAAGCAGATAAAGGAGAGAAGAAAAAAAGTGCTGGCTCAGCCAGGCAGAGAAGAGGAGGGGGAGAGGGAGGAGGAGGAGGAGAAGGAGGAGGAGGAGGAGGAGGAGGAGGAGGAGGAGGAGGAGGAGGAGGAGGAGGAGGAGGAGATGGGCAGGGGCTCAGGACAATAGCACTTGCCTTCTTGTTCCTGCTTACATGCCAAAATGGGGGTGGGAGCCTGCGTCCCCAAGTCCACAGCAGGCCAAGACTGGCAGCTTCAAGGAATCAGGCCAGACACTGCATGAGTGTCTCACCGCCATTCAAGATGCCCTGCTGCCCACCCCCATCCTCCATCCCATTCCAGCCTGCAGGCCGCCACCTCCCCCTGCTGCCCGGAGCCCATACTGCCCTGACTGACCTGCCCAAGGAGCCAAACTGGGGGGAAGAGGGCAGCAGGGGGAGGAGAGAGGACACAGGGAACAAAAACCTTGTCCCTGGCAGGGTCACCAAACAAGGATGAAGGAACACCAGGAGGCCACCCAACGGGAATGGGCACTCGCAGCCAAGCATGTGTCAACTTCCCCACCCACCTTCTCTCAGTAGCCTCACCGGTTTCATGTCACCCTGAGATTTACCCTCCAGGAACTGCCTCCCAATCACCAAATACCAGAGGCATGTCTTAGTCCTGGCCTTCCACACATGGCCCTGCCCAGCCCCTCTCGGAACTGGGGTCATCACACATCGCCTTACACTTTCCCCGTGGCAGTTAAAGCTTCTGGAGTTAAAGCACTCCCAGGCTCAAAACTAAAGGCATCCTTCATGGAAAACCCGCCCTTATCCATCGGGTCAAACCTTGTCAATCCCACAGTCCACATAACTTTGCCTCTACACTCAACTTCCCCGGGGGAGGGGAGGGGCCTGCCTCCTCCACCTGAACCAGGCATAAGGAAGGCCTTAGCTCTCGACCCTCTGGACCTAGCTGACCTTTGTGGCTTCAGTGTGCACACCACCCCCTCAACATACACACATACCCCAACTTCACTGAAGTTGAACATCCCCAGGGCAGCCCAGCTGAAGGCCGTGGGAGATGTCCCTCCTGCACACATCAGAGAACCTGGCTCTCGGTTCTCTTCGAGGCGCACCCTTGTGCGGAGCGCTGGGGCGGTGCAGCTGTGTAGCTGCACGGTTGTCTATCGCTTGAACCGCCCGCAAGGCCTGCTCCACTGATGTTTCCTAAAGCAACAGACACGCTGGAAATGTGAGCTTCTTACACTGGTTCTGCTCTGCAACCACCACTACCCGCCCCCTGCCTGTTCCCAAAGCCTGGGCGTCTCACCCCGGGAAATGCTGTCTGTCGCCTGCTATTCTGGAGGGAGGCTGAGCCCCATGATCGCTGAGCAGGGCCACGGCCACTGAGCAGGGCTGCAGTCCCGGGAGTGAGCTGCAGGGAGGTTCCGCGGTCCAGCTCAGCACAAGGTGCCCCTTCTCCTTGGCGTTGGAGTCCACTTCCCTCCCCATCAGTGGCTACGACAACAAAGACGATGCCACAGAGGGCCATCTTCCCAAGTGCCCCACACCCTTCCAAGGTCGCCCCTCAAAAATACAAAAATTGTCTACCCTTCCTGGGCTCCCTTCTGAACACGGGCTACTCCCAAATGTGTCTGCCTCCTCTCCTTTCCTCAAGGTCACCCGAGTGCAAAACCCATTTCCCAGAGGAGAAGAGCATGGCCAAGGCAGTTAGCCCACCTGGCTCCTCACCCCTCACG